ACTGTGCTTTGAGCCACAAACGAAGCCCCGTAGGAACTTCTGACAACGTAGGAGTAGGTGAATGAACAGTGAAAGCCATCTTTTCGTAGGAAATAGTCTCTGTACTTTCCAATACTCCTCATTTTTTCCTTAAATTGTGGTTATTATGTCTTGAAAAATATTCATATTAATCAGCTGAGGAAAGCTATTTAGCGTATTTGCAAATCAAGGGGAAAAAAGAATTGTAAATTAAAGCATCATTTACTTTGAAATGTTGTTCCATTCCACAATTTTAAAACACTAAGAATCACACTATTCAAAGACTTTAAACAATTTCCACTTAGTTTATACAAAAGACCATGTACTATAAAGCAAACTGATTACAAATAGGCAAAACAACACTAAATTGTTCCCTGTTTTCATTACAGTTACATTGTTTGTCATTTCACTTACCCATGCTTCGTGCCACATATCTCCTTTTCTTTTCCTTTGCCCTTCTCTTTTATTTTTTCTTTCTCTCTGCCTTTACGCCGCTCTCTTTCACGAGACCCGCTATGAGTTCTCCTATGACTGGATCTTTCACTACTTCGACTACAAGAACGTTGTCGAGGTCTTGAGCGTGATCTACACAAAATCCACAGTATTACAATTTAGCAGTCATACATTTTTCACTGTCACTGCATGTTAGATTTGTTATATAGTCCAACTATTTTAAACACATTTTCAAACCATTGAGTGATTTAATCCTTTTAAACAAAACGCTGCCAATTTAACAAAAGAAAAGTGAAAAAGAAAGCATTGCTTCAACTCTGAGGGAAGAATGCAAAATAAATTAAACCACACTACGTAGCATTCACCCATTAACAAAGTAATCTGCTATTACCAAAGTAACCCTTGGAACTACTGCAGAAGGAGAGGAAGGAAATCTTTTCTTGAACATTAAACTTTAAATTCTGAAGTTCTGATCAATTTAGCTTGGCAAATAACCAAAGTATTTACAGCTGCTACTAAGTGCTTGTACTTACATACTAAATACATTACTACTAATAGCGATGTTCCAACAAAACCCAGAAGTGACGTGCCCAAACCCCTGCCTTCAGCCTGCAGAGCTGACATTTGCACGCAGCTTCTTAATATCAAATTCAGATTCGAAACACGCTTTGCAGATAAGCTATAAGTAGGCCAACCCTACAGCCCAATAATGCAAGAAACTGCACACAGGTGCAAGGGTTTGCGCACATATTTGGTTCGTGGTTACAAGTTCCTACACGGCTACAGGATGCTCTGTTCTCAATCATGTTATCCATTCCCCTGCAATAAATGCACGTTGTTACTGATACACTTGAACGAAAAAAAGATCAAGAAGTATTACGATATGACTGTTTCTATATGTATCAAGAAAACCCCAAAACTTCTAATCATTCCCAAATTTCTTTTAGATTATTTTTTAAATTGTAATTTATAATTTATCACGAACCAATACATCTTTTCTACGGTACATGAGCAGCTATAGACAACGAACATTCAGGAAAACAGCAGTTCAAGTTTGCATTAGTTTCTCTCACAACGTACATCTTTGTAAAAGTTCTGATGGCACCTCAGTGGAAAGTTTCATTAAGTACCCTGAGGGCTGGGGAAAGGGCACTTTTTAAAACAGTATTAAAAAAAAATTATTTAGCACCTCTTGGAGCACAAAACTCCGCAAGGCCTTTAAAAGCAAAACCACGCACAAAAGATCACTCAATTTAAAAGGCAACAACTGTTTAATAAAACTCAACCATAGAATAAGCAAAGAAAATACGACATCCAGATGAAGGTATAAATTACATTTAGGAAGAATGCTGTTATTGAGTCTGGGGTCAGCACACCTCTTCTGGCCATCGAGCCCTCCAGGCTCGCGCGGGAGGTCAGAAGCTCAGCTGCACGGTTCGTTCGGCAGACGGCACCTCTCACACCACAGTGCCTCCCGCCATCGGTCACACTATCAGCACGAGGACAACAGATCAAATCACCACTTCAACAGCATGTAGTATTACGAACCATAGAAGATTTTCTGTCTCAACATGGATTTTTATTACGTCGTCACAAATTAAAGAGCATCCACTCATCCTTTAGTCCTCGGGCAAAGGAAGTTTCCAGCTAAAAGAGTACTCTGGATAGTAGATCTATTTTTCTGGTTGCCACAAAGACACTGGTTTTACAAGCATCATGACGAGGCAGGCACAGATTTACAGCCCTATGGATATTCCCTATTCAAAGGCAACCACAATCCCTGAGAGCTCTGCAGAGTCAGAAACAGCAAAACAAACGAGCAAAAGCACCCAACAGCAACACAAATCACCTCCATTTGATGCAAGGCCTCTCCTTACTTAAGGGTGTAGTCCTTCCAACAGAAATAACTGAGGAATCTAAAATATTTACTGCTAGAGAGCTTACTTTCTCAGCTCAGATCTGAACTTGGTTTCACATCTACCTTTCACAGGTGTAATGAACAGCAAATTCAGTCCAGGTTAGCCGGATGCTCAAATCCCAGATTTTTGTTCACTCACGTGTCTTACGTGGAACAAACGACAGGTATCACTTACACGCAGAAAAAACGGCTTTTAAAAATTAAAGGCAACTTGTTGCATCAAAGCTGAAATAACGCGCTTATAACAGCCTTGACAAACTGATAAACGTCTTCCTTGCAGAAGCCGTCACTGTGCTTGCATCTGCAATCTTTTGCACCCACAAAACTCCTTACCCTAGAGCGATCCCGGGTCGTTTGTTTATCCCTTGGGTTTTACTGTTATAGAAAATAGCTGATACAGTCTGTGCTCCCTGTCCCAGTCACGCGGGCGAGGCAGGCAGATGACTATCGACGGGATATTGCAGTGAAGATCTTAACAAAAACGTTAAGTTCTACTCCACAGAAGCCATCTCTGCAGGACACATTAGTTCAGTCAATCCTTCAATTATCAGAGCAGCTGATCTGGGCTGTAGCTCAGCCCAGAGCACAGATGCAGACAACCCAGAATTGGCTTCATGCAGAGACAACTTCAGCTTGGTTGGACTTGTTAGCTCAGATAACAAGTGAGCGCACGTAGAAGGGTCTTCAGGGCAGTTCAGGTGTGAAGCCTGGCTGCCTTCGTGGGCTGCAGACCCCCAGCCTAACCCAAAAACGGACTGCAATGCCCTGTTTTAGGGGATCTGTAGAGGGAGCTGTGCAGAAAAAAAGCTGCAAGGTGGACTCCAAGACAGGAGCGCTGTGGGTCAGAGACTGACACATCACCCCGACCTGTGACAGGGACACAGCCTGACCTCCTCCAGAGAGGAGTTTTCCAGAGGTTTCCATCATTGTACAAAGGTCTTTGCAAAAATGTAATTGTTCCTTATTTTCCCTCAATGCTGCAGAGCTGTTTTTGAAAAAGCTTCTCTCGAATTAACCTTTCTCCTTCACAGTCGACCCAAAGTCATAGTAACAGAGGACTGTTAGAAAAACCACTAGGCTTCAAGCTGAATCTCAACCCTTGCTTCAGTCTTCTGCTAGTCTGAAAAAAAATCTTAGGGGTTCTCTTCTCACACAAGTAGAGGCATGGAAATTTTAAAATACATTTGCTTAACTATCTAAGCAACAGCTTAGCGTATTACGAGTTAAGGCTCACAGTTTTACCATGTTTTGATGAAACAAAGGAAGCACAGGAACTAAATACTTTAAGATAACAGACATAAGATGGCAAAAATAACAAACTCTGCAGTATAATTCTCTAGAATGATTTCATCTTACATGACAAAATAAGTTCTGCCAGCAATACTTCTAAAACTGAACCAGAACTAACAGGAAGTCAGCAATAAACCCTAGAAGAACAGCTGAGCTTAAGCAGGTAAGACCCCAATCTTCTTGATCTCTGCTAGCACGTGTGCTCCTCAGAGAGCTCTCCGTTTCTATGAGGTGCCATAGGAAATGAGGATTAGCAGTGACCGAAGCCAAAGCCACAATTATACTGACATAGCGAGTGAACGCTGCATCGCTCCCAGAAGGCATGAAACCGTACCTCTTCGGGCCATGAAAATGGACAGGCACTGAAGTGCACAGGGACTCTGCAGCGCAAGTCTCACAGGGACAGGTGGGAAGTGCAGAACACTTAGGAAAATAAAAAGGCAATTGTTTTTGCCTACAAACAGGTTTTCCCTGCGTTCGTCAAAAAACAAGGCTTCTTTCTCCCTCAACTGAAAAGCTTAAGGAAGGGAGCGACCAACACAATAAGCAGAGAAGAGACTCACTTGATCTTTTAAAAAAGGCATAAGACGTAATTTTAAGAGGGGGGAGGAGTCAAGCATTTTAAACAGGAAAACAAAAATAAGATTATTGATTCAGTAAAGTGAAGAAAACTTAAATAAATAAGGCTAAAGAGATCAGATTCATAGCAACACCATACAGTGAGAGGCCAAAAGTATGGATTCAGGAACCAAAGAAATTATACTAAACATCTAAAAATTACAAAGGAGGAAAAGCACCGTTCCAGTTCCCATATAGTCGCTGCACGGCAAAGGCCAGCACTGCCTCCGCGCGCTGATACCGCCAACAGATGAGCGCATTCCCTTGAGGGCCAACTCGCTGTAAATACACCAGCCATGAAAAAGTTCCCACTTTGGCCCAGGCAGCACATAACGTCACTGCTTATGTAACCAAGAACTGTTTAAGTGTAAAATAACCACAGATTAGGTCCAGCCAAACTACTTCCATGCTGTTAGCCATATGACTATCAAAAGCAGGATTTACCCAAGCCTGCTCTCTACTGGGACAAAATTCCCGCAAAGAACAGTATTTCCTGGGTAGAAATGGTTTAAAGCATATAGCTGAAACCCTTATGTTTTACCTAAGTACTAAAAGCAAAGACTGTCCTTTGTTACCATTACCTTGGGCAGACACGCACAAGAGGATGACTCCCCGAATTTTGGAAAACAACAACATTTTAATACATTCCTGGTTAAAAGAAAAGCCTCCCACAAAGTGTGCAAAGGGACGCGCTGCGTCATACACAGGCAGAAGTTACACTCTTCGGGGACTTGTTGGCAAGTACTCCCAAAACAAGCTGCCACTTGAACTTTCCCGCTCACCTACAACCGTTGTAAAACGGCAGACGAGCAAGGGCCAGCCTCGAAGCAGAGGCCCATCACCAGCACCTTCACAGCACACTGCAGAGCTGCACTTCATGCCACAGGACTTCATTTTCCAGTATGTTACCACTTGAGCAAGACAGCTGTCTGTTTTCTTGGCCTATAAGGCCCAAACCCTAAACTACTTGTTTGAAGAACACTTCACGCCGTCTTCCACAAGGCCTGTATCAAATCCCAAATACGCAACAGGCTCTTGACAGTGGAAGATAATTTCATAAAGCAAAAAAGTAGACTAGATTTGCTACTCGGTGTAGAACAAGCTGCAGTACATTTCCATTTGTAGCATGAACAAATTCACCTGCATGTTACCATGAGTTACTATTAAAATACCTTGCGATACACACAGAACAGGAAATAAAGATATAACTTTATGAAATGGAGCTACGAGAAGTCATCTGTGCCAAGAATTCATCAGTAAGCAAGGACTAAAGTCCAGAGATCAAGCAGAGAATAAAGATTTTTCT